CCGGCCACCACGGCTGGGGCTATGGCCAAGACGACGGTAGGCGCAGACCCCTGCCGGCCCGAACCCAACTGGACTCGCCCTGACCCTGGCATCCAGCCGCATTTCCCTACCCCACAAGCCCTCGACCTCCAAGCCGGACCCGGACCCCTCTTTCATCCATTCCCCAGCACCCAGCACGAGCCTGGATTCCCCCTAGCGCAGCGCAAAGTCCACACTGCGCCCAGGCGGGCCCCGCCACCAGCTAGAGACCCGGCAGCTGAGAGCGTCCTGCCGCCTCCTCCGCGCAGCCCGAGAGACTGCCGCGCTTGCTCGGACACGGGCCCAGACACTCGCTCACTCACCCCGGCGTGCGCAGCGCCTGGAGGTGGCCCAGGGCAGCGCGGGGCGGTCGCGGCGGAACGCTGTGCGCGGGTGTCTGCAGAGAGCGCGGCACCGTGTGTGTGTGAGTGCGGGGACCTCGGGGGAGCTGGGTTCCGCGTGGGCGAGGGCACAGTGTCCTCGGGAGCGTTTGCCCGCGAGCTGATGTGTTGGTACTTGAGGGAAGGGATGCCCGCGGACGTATGGATGCCACCGGGTGTCTACACCGAGCAGGGTGTTTTGAGCACGTCCCGATGTGAGGCGTGAGAGCCTGTGGCCCACACAAGCCTCCTGATCTGACCGGAAGATAGCTCCTCCATCCTGCCTCAGTTTCCTTAAGTTACAGAGAAAAAGAAGAGGCAGAAAGTGAAAGACAGGGGGCTTGAGTGTGGGACAGATCAGCTCCCTTTGAGGGTATTCCATACGAAGCGGGAGTTGGGGTGCAGGGTAAGGACTTCCCCATTTACCTAAGATGAGTGCTGAGGACCGACGATCCAGGTTATTAGGAGGAAACCAGAGTGGAGCAGGTGGGGGTGGGAGAAGAAGTGATAGTGGGAGGAACGGCCCCCCCAACACACACACACACACACACACACACACACACACACACAAGCCCTCTTCTCCAGCAAGATAGTGAGGGCAGTGGGGGTCCTGGGCTACCTACAGTCTTGGGGACAGAGGTGTCAAGAAGTTGCAAAGGACCAGAGGGAGTGCTGTGGAGTCTCTGCTCCCGTCTGGGACCCCAGGCACATATTTGGAAGGGGAATCCTAGATCCCGCCTTGCAAAAACTGGAAAGAAAGCATCAGAGACTAGCAGAGATGGAGAGACGGGCAGAGAAGGGGCAGGTTGCCACCACCAATGGAAGGGCATCTTCCCCCAGCATCTACTCCAGGCCAATGTTGGGTGCTCCCCAGAGCACCCCCTTCAGCCCTTCTGCTAGTCCCGTACACCCACCCGTATCCGGTAGGGCCTGCTACCTTCCCCCAGCCAGACCTGGGGAAATGAGAAAGGGAAGGACAGAGGACAGAGGTGCTGGCGTGCGGCAGTGCTCACAGGGCTTCAAAAATAACCCAGTGGGGCCGGGCCACGGTTCTGAGTCATCCATTGGGGACATAGCTGTGTCGGCACCTGCTGCTGTTTTCTCAGGAAAACTTAAGAAGCCAAAAAGAGGGAGAAGCACCAGCCGGCAGTAGCTCTAAAAATAGGCAGCATCTCAGGATGTTCCCCAGGGAGATGCTGAGCCTCTCGGCTGCAGATGGAGCCTCTGGGAGGCAGGTGGTGGGCGCCCGTGGGTGTGCGTGCAGGTGTGTGTGTGTGTGCGTGCACGCGTGCACATGGGTATGTGTTTTGCTGTGGTCCCTTGCAAACTTGGGTTTCCAATAGGGGGTGTTTGTGTGTGAGGGTGCATATGCATGTGTCATATGTAATTGGCAAGGCTGTGTGTGTGTGTGTGTGTGTGTGTGTGTGTGTGTGTGTGCCATGTGAGTTCTGAGCCTGGTGAGCCCAGCTCACTGTACACATGTGTGTGCACATATGAAGATCTCTATGGACCTATAGGTATATGCCTGGGAGGCCAAGTGAGTGGGTCTTAGTTCCCTCATCCTTGAAATGGGTATCACACTGGCTTCTATTTCACAAAGTGATTGTGAGAAGCAAATTCATATCAAGAAACCAAAGCGAGGCTGATGATGATGATGATGATAATGATAATCAAATGACAACACTGGGTTGCCTGAGGTGCAGGCAGAGCCTGGAGCATGTCAGTTCAAAGACCTCATGCCTGGGGTCCTTCCTGAGTGTGTGTTGGGGCTGGGAAGAACTCTCTACCCAGAATCATGCCTGAGTCTGTAGCTGTGTTCTGTTCTCTTCCATACTTGACCTTTCTGGGCACCCGATCAGTGATGGGAGGTGAGTTTTAGTGAGGCCATATCACAGGCAAGGAAATGGAGGCTGAGAGAGGAAATGGCAGAGCCGGGATTGCAGCTCCAGGATAGGGACTCACATCTGAAAGGGTACAAGGGAGACCAACCCCCATGGGTGTTCTCAGCCTGCAGCCCAGAGATCCTGGCTGGCCTGAGTCCTTGCCTCTTCCCCACCCGCAGGCCCCTTGCACTGGCACAAGCTGTATCCCATTGCCCAGGGAGACCGCCAATCACCCATCAATATCGTGTCCAGCCAGGCTGTGTACTCACCCAGCCTGCGGCCGCTGGAGCTCTCCTATGAGGCCTGCACTTCCCTCAGCATCGCCAACAACGGCCACTCTGTCCAGGTAGACTTCAATGACAGCGATGACCGAACTGGTAAGTGCCCCCTGCCAGAGGCTGGCACCTGTACCCGTTGTGTGGGGGGCCTAACTCTGTGTCAGGCAGGCTCAGGAGGGGCCAGGTTGTGGAGGGAAAGGAAGGTTCCCCCTCACCAACGGAGAGCCCTTGGGCTGAGCCTCAGCCTCCTTTTGCGTAAAATGGGAGCAATAATACCCACCCTCCAGGTTATCCAGAGGAAACTAACAAAGCGAAGTGATGTTCCTAGTGCGGGCATACAGCAGGTGCTCGAGAAATGTGAATTCGCTTCTCTCCCTTTCCCTTTAGTGCTTCAGATCAGGTTTGTTTTCACTCCCTGCCCCATCACTGACCTGCCCCGTGGCCTAGAGCCAGAACCTCCTCCTGGTGTGATCTGGCCAAGCCCAGGAGGGAGAGAAAGGAGCTGAAATGTTCTGTGCACCAGGCCCCTTGCTAAAGTCTCAGCTCATTTATTTCTCTTAAGAACTCAGGGAACAAGGCCATCAGATGGCATAATGATTACGTTGCTGGACTCCCAAATAGTCGACTACGGTTCAAGTCCCAGACCCAGCAGCTTAAAACTCACTCTGGGTGCATCTGCGTACATGCATGCCCAGAATCCCAAAAGAAGAACGGAGGAGAAGGGATTATAGCGTGGCACCCCCCAGGGAATGATTTCTCACTTTCTGTCTCTCTGGTGAGCACAAGCACCCTATAACAAAAATCTCTCTTGAAAGGAAAAAAAAAAAAAAAAAAAAGAACCCACCTGTCTGTGAGCTGGGCAGTTTCAGAACCAGCCTGGTCTAACTCCAAAGGTCTCTCTCCCCAGCTCACCCACAACCTCGAGGTCCCTACCATCTCGAACCAGAGAGGCCAGTGAGAACTCATGACAGCCCCTTCCAAGGTCTCTTTGCCCTGGGATTAGAGTCCAGCTTCTTTCATGATAAATTCCTAGGCAGAAGCCTCAGGAGTGCTCTTCAGTGAAAGGATTTCGTCCTCATGACGCGGTCTATGGCAGGTGGAGTGGCGTGAGGAGGGAACGTGCTATACTTTCCTGTGTAAGGAAATGACCAGTCCTTGGCCCTTCTCTCCCTCTCTCCCCAACCATACACACAAGCACTGAAGAGCATTTGTTTCAAATAGGAAATCAAAAGGCAGAGAAGAAGGAAGTCAGACCTTTCATAAGATTGACCTTAGTTACTTAGTCCTGAGTTCCCTAGTACATTAGGAAACAAGGGAACGAG